TTTCTCTTTTAAATTCTGTGCTTAAACATCATTTTGAAAACACCTGTTTTTAAAGAGTGATCCATACCTTTGCCTAATAGATTCCTAAAATACCCAAGACCTACCTAAAGTTTAGCATTTCTGAATTCTCATACTCTAATGTTAGCATGTGATTTCTGCCAACTGTTTTCTTGGGTTTCTTCTAGTAGGTTATAAATCAGATTTATGAAAAGGAAACTATGTGTATTTTTTAATGGATTTATGATAAAGCCATCAAAGTGGAAGGTCCATATGGTAGGAATGCAGTAAAGGTAACAGGACAGTGTCATGTAAACATTAAGTACAGTGCCTTCCACCTTCATAAATCTTCAATGCGCATGATTAAGTGCTGCCAGTTATAAATTATGCAACCAAACTCTAGAAATGACTACAACTTAAATAAGACACCAGAGGAAGCCATAAGTTGTATATAGGTTTTCTTTCCAAAAATCCATTGTATATTTATTAGGAGATGATATTCAAGTCCCTATTTTCCTCCATAATTACTTTCTCACATTATTTAACTTCCTACAGTTAAGTCCTAGTCCTGATTTAAAAGTAATAATGCAAACCTTTAATCCTAGACAGTAATTTGTCATTTATATGAGGTGAAGTACCTTTTTGATTTGCAGACTCATTTTAAAACTTTCTTTATATATATATATATAGCTTGTCTTTCTCTCTCTTTCTATACACACACACACACACACAGAGACAGACATATATGTAGCTTGAGGTCTCTACGATTTTGTCCTTTTTAGAGTCATGTATCAGAAGTTTCTGCAAAAGCCCAATTTCACACTGTTATTTACAATCAAATTATTTTATTACATGTGGGAATAATTAAACATTTTGCCCTTAGCTGTAAACAGTTACTATATACAATGACATTCATGGATTTTTCTTAAATGGTCATGTATTTCTAATGCCCTGTTAAAGAGGTGAGATCCATGTACATGCATTCTGTGTTTCCATAAGCAAATATATTCCCAAACAAAATATTAAGAGATACTTCACTTAGAGAATGCACTGACCTTGTCTGATACCATGTAGCCACCTGCAGTGAGGATACCTTGAACATGTTTCATTTCTGTTCCTCTCTCAGTTTACTACTGTTCCAGTTTGAACCTGAAGAACTGTTGGTGTTCATAGCAAGAAGTGATTAAGATTTTGGATAATTTGTTTTTTAGAGTTTTGAGGTGTCTAATTCAAATATAGTGGCATCAATATTGCCAGTAGTGGAGGTAAAAGAAATAATATAAACAAATAGATTTGGTCTTGACCTGACTCTGCCAATTTCCAGTTGAATGACCTTGGGTTAATTTCCTTTTTTCAGTTTACTTTGAAAAAATGTGAATAGTTATATCTAAATTATAGGACCATTATGTGTTAAATGATCTATATATTGAAGAAATAGGTACATGCTATGCAGTACATACTGATTTCTATGTTGTTTCCCAAACTCCTTTCCCGCAAAGACTCATAAGCACTGTGGCTTTCCATTTTGAGGACAGCCATTCTTGGATCTCTCAAGTTTAGGGATACATTTTCTTTTTACTAACTCCCGTTTTCTACAAGTGACAACCATGAGAGAAGCCCACGGTCCACTCACATCCAGAAATAAGTCTACCAGTCCCAGTTGCAAGGGTACCTAACAGATGTATCCAGCCTTTCTAGGGGGCCAGAACTGGAGCTGAATAGTAATGTTTCAAGGGCAAAGCTCTAGATATAAATAATGATAAAACAAACTTAAATGAGCCTAAGCACATCTAGTGACAGATACACTACAGCTATTCTAAATTATTCAAGTTTTCTCAGACTTCTAGCAGAAGAACCATAATTCATCTCTGCTCCCTTTATTCTATTTTCATATAATGGCATAGAAGCAAACCCAAAACTAACCCCTTCCACTAAAAAAAAAAGGTTATAATCACCCAAATTGAGCAAATTGAGAAGAGTTTCTTTAGCCCATATCACATTTTTAGAACCATCCAATTTCTGGGAACCAGCTTTGGAGGTAGAAGTTAAAAATGATTTTGCAATGCTTATGGGTGATTTCTTTACTTCCCTTTTGTTAGTATTTTGCTGGCAAAAAGCCAATAAAGCAGTTGTTTAATTACCCAGGACATCCCAAACATGTAACCTCTTAGATAAGCTGTTACTGTATTTTAGCAGCAATAATACCAGGGTCAAAAGTAACAAAGAAAATTAAGCTTCAAATAAGCAAACCTCAAAAGAACAGCTTTGTATATTGAGAATAATTAATAACTTGTTTAGGAAAATGTTACTGAAAAGTGGTTTTTGGACAAGGAACTGACACTCTTCAGAAACCTAATATTTAACAGGCTACCATTTGGTGGGCTGGCTGGCTGGTTACCCTGTAGGCATGGCAAAAGTTTGCTCACATGTAATTATGTAACATTTAGACAATATCTTAATGATACCATGTAGTTCAGCTGAATCAGTCCAGCTGGAAATTGTAGCAGTGTTCTGATTAGCCAGCCACATGTGAAATTAAGGCTTTTTCAACCTCTACTTTTCACTTGCTATGTCTTGATGCAGATGTTCTTGGAAAGCCTAAGTTATTTGTGGTTTGACATTATTTAACAGAGTAAGCCCCACCCCCTTTCATTTTCAACCACTGATTATGATTGCATTACTATATAAGATATGATATTTTAACAAGGGCTATTGCTATACTTTATCATATGGAAGAGATATTATTGTACTTTGGACAGTTAGAATGGAAATTTTCCACACTAGTTTTTATGCAATAAAAATTGTATACCCTTCTCTTTGCAGATAATTCTTACTATAAAAATATAATTCAATTTATATCCCTGGCAATCATTTTATTAAATAAGCACACATGATTATTATTTTAGAAAATATTAATTTCAGTTGCATGAATAAACTAGTATAGATTGGTCTTTATATCATGTCATAAAGACACTTAAAATATACCAATAGCAAAATCAAGTTAGTGTCTAAAAAAAAAAAAACCAGAATTTTGCCCAAGGTTAACACTTTGAAAATATATTTATCTCCATGAACTAAAAATACAAAGAAGAGTTTCAGTCAATGGGCATTTTTTTTTTTTTAACTCCCAGCTCACTCCTCAGCAAGTGTTTAGCTTACTTCTTCCCCATAATTCTACCTGGATGACAGCACAACTATTTTGTTTTAGAAGTGAACAAAGGTATTAAATTTTAAACAACAACTATACCATCTAAACGCAGTATCTAATGAATTCAGGTAACAAATGACTTTCAAACAAAAAAATCATAAATGACATTATTTCAGCCACTTTCTATGAATCAGAATGGAAAAAAATAGGTAATGGACTATTTACCACCTCTATGTTAAACACTAGGTGGAATATTTTAAGATACTTTCACAAGTATTTTTATTACTTATAAACATATCGCTAATTTTAGTAAATGGAAGCAGCAGCTGAAGAGGAACAGAAGCTAATGTTGAATATATGTGGATCGCCAAATAAGAAATCTAAGTCTTAATGCCTGTAGATCTTTATTTAAAAAGAAAATGCTAAATTCCGATTAACTGTCTTTCCCCTTAGTACCAGATAGTTTTCTGGGCCAGTGTATCTTGGAATGTCCGACCTACGTATTTAAGTTAGTTGGCAAGAAATTCCCAAACAACTGACACATAAAGGTCCCTTTAAAAGGTAACTTGGAAGGACCATTGAGATAATGCTAAATGGTCATTAAAGATGTTTAAATGTCATTGTCTACTGTCTTCAGTGTGCCGTTACATAGCCTCGGGATCCTTTCAAATAGCAATCAATAGAGGGTGAATAAGTCTCACCACTTGAAAGTAACTAGGAAAGGAAGCCAACAGAGTAATCTGGCTTTGCTGGACTGATTCAAGAAGAGACACAATATCCACCTCTCCTCTTCTAGTTCTCCCTCCCCCTACCCAGCCCACACCCCTGCAAGAAAGAAAGAAGAGAAAGCTAAAGAAGGAAAGAGAGAGAGAAAGGAAAATGGATGGGGCAGAGGGCATAATTTATCCTGAGCAGAAAACCTCATCCAATGGGACAAACTATAGCCATGGAAACAGACTTCATGACTTTTACTTTGAAAATAAAAGAATGACAATGAAATTTGTGTGAGGTCTGTGTGAATCCAGTCCCAGATGTTTACAGTGCTGTAGGAGTATGGCTCTGCAATATGAGAGGTTTCAGAAGAAACGAGTACAACAAGACACCACAAAGCAACGCATATGCCATTGACAATGCAGACATGAGCATCATGTTACCGAGAGAGAAGGCAGGCAGAAGACAAATAGCAGCGGTGGTGCCTGAAGAGCTAACTTCATGGACTGCAATCACTCAAACCAACAGGAGGGGCCAAGGGGAAAAAAAAAAAAATCAAAACCAGAAAAATGTTTGCACTCCTGTCTAGATAGGTAGTAGGGTAAAGAGATGGGGGTGGGGAGCCAGCGGAATTGACTTTTCTTTCTTAAATAAAGCTCCCATAAAGCCCCTGTAATTGACAGCGGATAATTATTTTCAGCTTGAGAAAACTGTCCCAAAACTCTTAATAAGATTGCCAGCGAAAAGAAACCAAATGTGTTTACTCGAGCCAGTTCCAGAAGGGAGGGAAAGGGGACCTTGAGATGAGGTGCGGAAGGGCTATGGAGACGGAGGGGGGCATCTAGGCGCAGCAACAACTCTCCAGCGCCCTGCGTGGTCCCGGGAATGACAAGCCGGAGAGAGAGAGACGGGGCAGATGGGGTGGCAAGGAATGGGGGGTGTGGAGGGCGCTGCGTCAAGGGGAGGGGGGGCGGCATCACAATGTATGGGGGGGAGTGATTTAGTGTGAAAGTATTCCACTTAATCATTTTACAGGGGTTGGGGACGTAAATATTTAGCTGGCCACATCTGGAACAGATTTTCCCCCCCTTGTGGGGTGGGGGGTGGATAATTGGAAGGAGGGGAGCGCGCATTTGTTACTTACTGTACGGGCAGTTCTCCTTCTTGGTACCGCTGACCTTCCCGTTCTTCTCGATCTTGAGAAAGTACTTGGTAAAAGAGAAGAGCTTTCTCCAGCGGACATCTCCTTGGAGGTGATTGTAGCTCCGCACGTGCCTCCCCGCACTAGAAGGAGAGGAGAAGGAGGACGAGGACGCGGAGGACGAGGACGAGGAGGAGGAGGAAGAGGAGTTGGTGGCCTCTGGTGACACCATGCCCTGACCAAGGGCTGGGCAGGTGACAGGGATGGAAGACACCAAGAACAGCAACAAGAAGCAGCAGCCGCTGCCAGGCAGGTGGGGAAAGGCTGAGGCACAATGTGTCAGTATCCATTTCCACATTGTACTGAAACTCTCGGCACTGGAGATTGTCTCATCAGAAGGAACATACTGGACGGGTAAGACCTGGTGCGAGGCAAGGAGACAGCTGGAGGTGGCGGCCGCTGGTTAGCTCCCTCGGGGCGCAGATCTGGCCAGAAGTGAATGCACCAACATCCATAACTCCTCGGAAGGGCCGGCTGCCTCTCTTCGCTCCTTTCTCGGGCCCGCCGCCGAGCGCCTCTCGAGTCTCCCGGTGAATGGTGAACGTGGGTGGCCGCAATGGCAGGAGCTGGTGGCGGCGGCGGCGGCGGCGGTGGTGGTGGTGGTGGTGGTCACGGTCACCAGCGGTCTTCACTCCCCTAGGAGTTACTTTGTTCTCTTCTTCACCCCTTTCTTCACCATGTTAGATGCAAAAAAAGGTCTGAAAAACAGATGACAGCACGGTGAACAAAACCCACAGAGGTTGGGGTGGGAGGCTGGGGGGAGATGTCTGCGCCTCTCTGGGCTTGGCACCTTCTGGGCCCTCTCCGCAGAGCCCCAGCCCGCTAGCCAGTTCTAAAAGCGCGTCCCTCTGCGGTTGTCAGAACTGGAGGCAAGCTGCCGGTCGCCGATGTTTCCTTCCCCGTCTTGCTTTCTCTTTTTGGTGGTGCCTGTTGATTTGAAGCCTCCAGAAAGTCACTTCTTGTTTGGGGGAGATGGCGGTTGGTGTTTTGTTTGGTCCTCTCTCCCTCCCCACCCCCCCTTCCTTTGGAAAGCCCTCTTGTAAACAGGTTGAAGCCTGGAGTCTAAATGTCAGTGATTCTAAGCCAGAGGTGGGCTCTGCCTCTGCTGGTCAGACCTCATTTGCAGGGGTGGAGGAACGGGGGGAGGGGGTCAAACGGCGGTGGGACATCTGAAACCCTCGGCTGCTGGGAACGCCAGGGAGCGGGAGGGGGAGGGGGCCGAGAGAGGGGGGAGAGTAGGGGAGCAAGGAGGGGAGAGCGCGATGCCTCCGCGTGGAGCCGGGGGCTGCCGGGTCCCTTCCGTGTGGCCCCGCGGCCGCAGGCAGCCTCCGCCCCGCGCCTCCAGCTCCGGCGAATTGCTGCAAAGTGGCGGTGTGCTGGCTGCGCCGGCCACCAGCGCGAGCTGGCTCCTCGGGCTTTCCCAAGTTTGCTGTCTCCAGCCTGAACCAGTCCCCTCTGGGGAGCCCCCTTCTCACTTGTTTTCCAGCGTAGGATTTTTTTTTTTTTTTTCTCCCTTCTTTTGGCAGTGAAGTACTTCAGAGCCACCTGGAGCTTGGTGCTTGGCTGACTGTTTTTAACCCCCCTCTGGCTCCCAGAAGGAGGGGAGGGCTGGGGGAGAAAGCAGAAGATGCTGTGGATAAACTCTCTAAAGCAGCAGATTATAAACTGGTCCGAGTGAGCACAGAAAAGGGAGGCATAATTAGCTTCTTTTCCTCCTCTTCTGCCAGCTTCCAAGGAGGTCTCTGCTTTAATGAATCACTGATTTCTCGCTTCCGTTGCCGAAGTAAAAAGTTCACACTTTGGCCCTCTCTGCCTTTTAAGCTCAGGGAGATTTATCGTCACCCTTAAAAGTCGCCTCTCTCTTGGTGCAAATGAAATGGGGGACCTAAAAGACCAATTTCTAATTGCTAGCGTGAGTCCTTTACTGAATCAGGCGTACACTTCAAAGCGAACGCACTTTATTGAGATTGCAAAGATTTACCCATAGGATTTGGCCGAATGTTCTGCTGTTTTCTATGCGATTTCCTTTGCACTTTGCCATAAAAGGGGCGTCTTCTTTTTTCTATCTTTACATTTAGTGTTAAGGGGGCTCTGTTTTACGATACAGCTCCACTACCAGTTCTCCCTCTTTCTCACACTCACCACGTCGCAACACCCTCATTGCTAGCGACGCTCACAACCCAGGTATAGACAGAACCAAATCCCTGGCTAGGAAGCCTTGCCAGGAATTAAGAGGCACGAGAGGCAAGTAACTGTGATAATCGGTTCCGATCCGAGTAAGAGATAGTTCCTAGAGGATCGCTACGAGAACTGCTCTGTACTAGGGAAGGCTTGACTGGGAGGAGTAACGGAAGATGTAACGGTGTAAAATATTTACGTTCTGTAAGGCGGTTAGACATTAGTGTTATGTTGAAGCATATGAAATTGCCACTCTTTTATATTTATCGACCTTCCCAAGTGGCAACTTCATATGGTTCACCAAACTTAATAGTTAGACTGCTATTCTAAGATGGAGAATCATTTCAAGGTGAACTTGGGAGTTTGACCTCTGTAACTGTAATTCCAAGGGAGCTAATCGGAAGAGCTGGTGTATATACAACAGGCCAGCATCCCTGTAATGTGCATTTGACCTCAGTCTTCATTGTGAACAGGAGAAAATACAGAGAAATAAAAAAATCTAGCTTTAGAGATGGGCATTAGGAATGATTGCCCAATTATGTTGTTTAGTGACCTGAAAAAAATGACTTTACATGCATGCGCTTATATTTTCCTACGCATTCAGAGCCTTTGAAATAAAACCATGTAATGCTAGAATCAGGATTTTAATTGCATTTTTTTAATAACCAATTGCAATGCTTACTGAAAAGATTTTGACACTGTGGTCAATAGCACAGTAGGCTTTTTATATAACCAGTTTTGATTTCTGTAGCCATTAATTGGAAAGTTAAATAAAGAACATATGTCATTCGAATGCTCAAAGTTTTGTTCTTTTATTAAAGCATGGATGTTTAAAAATGAAATCACTGTGCTAATTTAATTTTCTAGTTCACAGTTTTATACCTGAGCTAACAAATGCCTGAGAGAAAGTATAGTGTTTCTAAGGGACTTAAGTTTCAGTCCAATTGTTCAGTAGAATCCAAATGTTTGAATTGACAACTAATTAGAACTGCATATTTTTTTAATGTTTGATGAAACCATACAGTAAAGATTCTGCTGTGCAAAATTACAGAATTAGGAAGTTATAATTTTGAGGTTTCTCTACACTGGGCATCAACACTATTGACGCCAGCTTGAGATCCTTTTAATTTTTTTTTTAAACTCACAATAGACACCCCCTCCTACACTGAAGGTAGTCTCCCCTCTACCCCCCTCACCCCCACATCTACCGACTTTCTGCTCCAGTAGAGAAAGCTATTCAGATCTTTGTGAGAAGTTTTGTGTTTTTATTCTGTTTGAAATGGGGGAAAAAAAAAAACACTTCATCAAACTTCCATATTAAAATCTGGTTGCAGCAGGTGCAGTGTTTAAAACTAGAGTCCTTTCGCCGTTCTTCTGTACAGCGTGATGACAGGAAGGGCATTTACAAAACAGCCCAAAGGAAAAGCTGACATAGCTTTTTAGATTATATCTCATTCTTCTTTTTCTTTTCTGTACAGCCTTTCTTTTATAGCACAGTTGAATCCCTAAATACTCTGCTGCTTTGCATTGTTAGGTCACCTCTTAGGTTAGCCCGAGAAAGCCTGAGAAAAGTTCCACAGGAAAGATGCACTATTTAACGGAATTCAATCTCTCCCAATAGATTTGAATCACTAACATAAATGTATGAATGTAGATTATATCTCTGTAATGAGGCCTGAATCATTCTCAGTTACTTCAAAGGACTGAAATTCTACCTTCCTTTTTTAGCAGCAATAATCAGGTCTTAATGGGTTCCTTTATTAATTGTTTCTCTGCAACGACTGAAAAGGACAGGACAAGCTTCAGATTGGAGTGGTACCTACTAATTCTAAAAGGCTGTTTTTCTTTTTTTCCCAACCTCTGGAAGGCATGCTTTATTTCTGTGTCCTAAACATATCCAGTAATATTAGGCTAGCTCTTTATTGGAGGAAATAGATGTGGTCTTTTGTTTAATTTGATGTCTTAAGAAGCTACTGACGCTTTTAAAAGCAAGTTCGTGGCAGCAGCCCCTGAAGAATCCTAAATGGTGACTGTTTGACCTCAGAGAAGCCGTTTGCCTGTGTACTTCCAGATCCTTCAGTAGCTCTTCTGTTTAAGCGGTTTACATTTTAAGTATGTATTTCCTGGATTCTTTATGTTGCTTGGCACTATCTGTGGTTCAATTACAAGATGTGTGTTCTGTAATGTGCGATGTAATTGGCAGTGTCAGTAACCTGCTTCAAATAGTAATACATCAGGTCAAAAGTCAGCCAGGCTGTTCCACAAAGTAGACATGTGCAGGCCTCATTTTTTTTTTTTTTTTTAAGATTTTATTTATTTATTTGAGAGCGAGAATGAGAGAGAGAGAGAGAGCATGAGAGGGGGAGGGTCAGAGGGAGAAGCAGACTCCCTGCCGAGCAGGGAGCCCGATGCGGGACTCGATCCCGGGACTCCAGGATCATGACCTGAGCCGAAGGCAGTCGCTTAACCAACTGAGCCACCCAGGCGCCCAAGGCCTCATTTTTGAAGTCTGCAGTGGTAGTCATCGTGACTGTGTGTTCCAGCCCATGTTCCCTTTCAGATACGGGAGATGCCAGTTTTTGTTTTTTTTTTTTTAAAGATTTTATGTATTCAGTGGAGAGAGAGAGCATGCACACAACTGGGGGGAGGAGGAGCAGAGGGAGAGGGAGAAGGGGGTCCTGGCTGAGCGGGGAGCCTGATGCAGGACTCCATCCCAGGACCCTGGGATCATGACCTGAGCCGAAGGCAGACGCTTCACCGACTGAACCACCCAGGCGCCCTGGGAAGATGTCAGTTTTAAGGCATTGTTGGGGCTTCTGGTCTTCCCAGATTGTGGCTAGAGATGATGCTTATGGTCAGTGACATTTGGGCCAAATCAAATAGTGATATCTTATTTTTTTAAGAGGGGTTTTAATTGAAAGGAAACGGAGTCTTAAACCACAGAGGGCAGTGCGGTACTTGAGAGCCAGGGGGAACTTTAGCAATAGCTGAATCCAACTCAATCACTTTATAGCTGAATGAACTGATGCCCAAGTCACTCAGTGGTGGAAGAGAGTTTAGAACTCAGGTGCTGAGTCCTAATTTTAACAACCATAGGCTGCTGTCCTAATTTTGTTGGTAACACCTGCCTTGTCTGTTTTCTCTTTTCCCCCCTCTCGGCTCCTCTTCTCCTTATCACTGACCACTCATCACTCTAATGTCTGAGATGCCAGGGTGGAAATGATAAGGGGTTAGGAGGCTTTACTTACGCAAAACCAATATATCTTTGCTGCAATAGATTAGCCAGAGAAAAGTAATAAAATAGCTTGGTGTTGAATTATTGGGTACCAGTTGATTTGCTGAATAAATATTGATGTATATATTTGGCAAAGGGGACTATGTTATCAAAACTTGTGAAATGAACACAATTAGAAAGCAATGCATGCCACATGTTTTCGGAATAATCAAGGATTTTTTTTTTCTACATAATCTGAATTTGTAAGTTCTACTCCAGGAAATTCATGGTATCTTCTAAAAAAGTAGATTTATAATTTGATTCTGCTTTTTCTATTCCAAGATTAAATTTCCATAAAGCAGTGTGATATTTCAAAGCATAGGTATTGGCTTAAATAATTTTTTTCCCAAAGCTTGAAACTAAACTAAATTTTCTATTCCCAAGCTTTCAAACAGACTTAATGATCTATTGTTGAGAATGAAAAATGGCCGAGGTAGTGACAAAGATCTTTTGAAGGAAAAAAAAAAAACTATATAAGAATGTTTAAATTTTACAATAAATCACAAAAATTCTTGGAAACTCAGCTCTGCCTGTTGGCACCAAACACACCGAACATATTTCCGCAAAGCTGCTATTTGTCTCCTCCCCGCTGATGGTAAACAGAACCTTCCCTTGACAAAGCTGTGAAGTATGAAGAGTTCTGTTTGTTTTCTGTGTTTCCAGCTGTCCCTTTGTAGAACTGTGCCTCCTTCCACTTCAAGCCCTCTAGATTTCCTAGTCCTGTATCCTTGATCAGAATTTTAAGCACTCTGATATCAGTCCTTTATGTTTGTGATTCAGTTGGAAGGTTATCATGTTTTCTTTAAAGTTGCAATGTCTTACAACAGACATTTATAGTAAATTTCTTTCTTCATCCATTCACTTAACTGGTTTTTATTTAACTAATGTTTATGGATACCTACTATGTGCGTGTTGTGGGATTTTACAAATAAATAAGACAGAGCAACATCCCTTGTGAAAAGAATGAATGAATGAGTGAGTGAGTGAATGAATGAATGAATGATTTTAGGTACTTTATTATTAATGATGAACAAAATAAAGTTATTTTAGGACTCAGAAAGCAAATGGAGAGATTTGGGAGGAGAAAAAAGAGCCCCTGAAATTTTTTTCTGGTTGTCCTACTGTCTACAAGAAGAGCTGAAGGAAACTGTAACTTC